ATTTTTCATGTAGAAAGCATGTTTTCTTTTTGAGTGCTGCTAAAAGAACCCTAAAATTAACTGAGTACACCATGCTACTAAACTATTTATTGAATTACTAATTTACCCTAATATAAAATGGCCATAAAGGATATATTGAATTATAAAACAAATATAATTTTAATAAGTACACCCTAATCAAACGTAGAGAAGTTTTGGTGGGTTAAGCAGCAAGTTTGGCAACAATTGGGTATATTTTGTCAAAAAATTTTGTTAATTACCTTCAGTACTTAATTACTTTAAGTATCTAACGTTTATGTTTTATTGACCGACTAGCTATAAATGGAAGATAACCATGTTTGATATTTTAACGAACATGAAAAGTCTTCTGCCAGCACCCAAGTTAAGGAGATCCAGGCAATTCTTGGAGCTAAATACCCCATCGTTGTTAAGTCTATGATACATTCAAATATTTCCTCTTGGTTTTGTCTGACAGTAAAGCTAGAAAATATACGATAGAGAAAGTGGGAGATGGGATATTCACTTAGACATTATAGATTAGCCATGGACTTCTCAAGATGGTGTACTCAGTTCAATAAGGGAATGGAATGGATGTGATATTTGGTTGAATATCCCATCATTGTTAAGTCTATGATACGTTCAAATATCTCCTCTTGGTTTTTTATTTTTTGTTAGAATCGAGTTATATTCAAAAGAACGCCAAAGCCAATTACACAAACGTTGAACCCCAAAAATGAGTTCAACCAAATGCAATACAAAAGGCATAGAGCCCATTATAGTTATTAAACTCACGAAAGGCATCAAGCCCACATAAAGGCAAAAGCCCACAAAACACAATACACACTTAGGAAACCACAAGGCAAAGAACAAGGAAATGTTGCATCACCCAAAACCCATGAGCTGTGCCTTCCACGGAAGACCACCACCACCACCAAAAATAAACTGATAACCCAAGCTATAAACAGAAAATGGTGATGGACAAGCCACCAAAGCTACAAATAACATTACCATAATCTAAGTAATAGCTAACACATACACTTTAAAAGCATCCTCCACCCGTGGAGTATAGGAGCAAATGATAGTGGCGGAGAACAAACGCTGAGACACAGCCGCCGATGATGAGTGGAGAAAATACGTAGTCTGTAAACACATGAACATAAAAACTAAGTCGATGATGCTGAAACCACCACAATCGTTGCCCATTCCACTGCTGCCACTATTGTCGCCATCGCCGACATAAGAGGAGAAGGTCATGTGAGGGGAAATGATAGAAAATGGAGGCATAAGCCTCAAAGCTCACCCACACAAATAGGGAAGGGGGCCACAAAAATGGACCAAGTAAGGAGGAGAAAACCTCCAGCAAATACCCACAAAAGGGGGAGAATGAGCCACAAAATGAACACCAAATTAGGAGGAAACAAAAAGTAAATTAGGAATATGGTAGGGGAAGAAAGGGGAGAAGGGAAGAGGATTAACAATGAACTCCTCCTCATCATCAAGCTATGTGGCGCCTAAAGAAAACTTTTGGGGAGTCTGGTATATGTTAAAATAGTTTTACAATAAAGAAGCTTTGAATTGAATGAGCTAGCAAATCTACTTTCATAATAGGTTACGAAATTAAAGATTTTGATGCAAACCCAAAATATGAAAAGAGGGCACAAATTTATGTAAAAAGAGAACCTAGTTTAGGAGTGGTATTAGGTGTTGTGTGATAGAGTGCATTAGGGTATACTAGGGGTATTTTTTATATTTAAATAGGGTGTACTTAGTTAATTTTACATTTTGTTTAAAATATTATGGTGTACTTAGATTATATGGTGTACTGTACTCAGTTAATTTTAGGGTTCGTTTAGCAGCACTCTTCTTTTTCTCTAGCCTTATAATTGAGCGTGTATTAGCTTAACCAGGGTGTGTGGGTTGTATTAGTTAGTCACTAAGGAGAGTATTAAAAGTCCAATCCGTTTAACATAGTCAGGTAATTAAATAATACAAGTTGACACCAAACAATTGACATGGACTATTTACTCATATCCAGAGTCTAATACGGTGTACCAAATATACAGTGTGTTGCCATCTTTGAATTGATGCTTTATACGTCATGTTAATTTCTTTGATTGTATTGTTGAAGTTTATCTAAAGAAAATTATCTTCGATAAATAATAGGCTTATTAGTTAAAATGCCCCTTGAAACTTGGGTCAAATCTCACTTTGCACACTGAAAGTGAAAGTGACTCATATACCCCATTTGACCATGGTTTTGAGTTTCACTTTGCCCCTACTATCAACTCCATTGCTAGCCCCGTCAAACCTCTGACCTCCAATACCCAATAAATGGTCATTACCACTAGAGCAAGTTGTATTCTTGGGTAATCTTTGTAGAATGATGATATTTATTATATGCTTAGAAGAATTTAAAAAATGTTATACTCTTCCTTCTCCAGCAGTCGACTTTCTACCCTTTTTTTTTCTTTTTTTCTTATCTTTTCCACTTCTTCTTCGTTTTTCCCTTTTTTTTTTGGTCTTCTTCTCTCGATCTTTTTATTTTTTTTATTTTTTATTCTTCCTCTTAATTTGAAAGTCAGATGTGGGGAGAAGGGTTGGGGGATAGTTTGGTTTGTGTAATATGGGGTGGGGTATCAATTGGCGGTTGCTATTTGGGGTGGGGGATCAATTGGGGTGGCTGGGTAAGGATGTGTTGGAGGTGGTTGGGTGCAAGTTGGCTTTTTGGAGTTGTGTCATTTGGGGTGGGTGTTTTAGGGTTGGTGGATGAATGTTCTAGAGGCAGGTGGTTGTGCGGCGGTGGGGTTTGCCCAAGAGGAGCAACTGTGAGGATGAGGTGGGTTTCGTGGGCTGAGAGAGATGGGAGATGGGAGATGGGAGATGGGATATGGGAGATGAGGATTGTTGGAGTGGGTTGATGTGGTAGGTGGGCTAAGGTCGCGGTAAGGGAAGGTGGAGAGGTGGTGGTGACATCGAAGTAAGGGCTAAGTGGAGATGGCCGGTATGGGTGGGGACGAGGTTACTGGTTCTTTTTCTTTTATAAAATAATAATAATAATAATAATAATAATAATAATAATTTTTAATGTTTAAATTTTAATTATTTAAAAGAATTTTTGATTTTTTATAATGTTTTTATGCCATATGGGACAAAAATATGAAAATACCTCTGCCACGTCAGCAATTTTGTCAGGATTAACAATGAAGTTGACGGCAAGGGGCAAAGTAAGACGCAAAACCATGGTCAAATAGGGTAGGTCACTTTCAGTTTCAGATGCAGTAAGATTTGACCCAAATTTTAAATAGCATTTTAACTAATAAGCCTACGTAATAATAATAATGCAAGACACACAAGTATCAAAGTAAACATATAATCACAAACTAGTTATTGTATCATGATATTTTTCTACCCAATACTGAAAAGAGATCCATTACGCATACGATTGTATAAAAAAAATTTAAAAAAAAATTGTCAATGAAGGTTGGTTGAGTTGGTAAAGATCATTCTCTTCGCTATCTATACCTAGATTCGAGTGTTGTTGTTTACAATTCCTCTTGATGGATAATCTGTAAAAACTAAAAAATAGCTAAGACTCCCTCTGAGGTCTTAGTATGCCAAGCCTTGGGATGGAGTAACCTCCCTCCTCTCCCCCTAAATTTTTGTTCATTAATAAAAATATAAATGAAAGGTAAGCATAGAATCTAAATTCATCACCTAAAATACTTTGAATTACTTGTGTTACTTTCATATTGTGTAGACCATTTGACTACAACACTGACGTGGACCTCCCACCAGAGGGGGAGTGGATGAAACGAAAGGAACGGAGGCAGCGGAAAATGGAAAGGCGCGCACACAAACACACCATGGCATTTAATACAGAGTAGAAGAGCAGACGGAAGAGGGAGTCAAATCCGAAGAACCAACGTCAACAAAGAAGGAACTACAAGTCATTACTAGATATTGTAACCGAATGTGAAGAGATATATATATACATAAATATATATATAATGAAATCGAGAGAGAGAGAGAGAAGAAGAAGAAGAGAGCCAAGACAATGAAGTGAGAAGAGAGGGGCCTCGTGGCTGTTGAAGGGGTTCGATGATGGACGCCTGGCACTCCCATTAAGAAACGTGTTATGGGGATTCGGTGCTCCTCTTGCCGCGTGCTCCTTCTCTCTCTCAAAATCCTCATTTCCTCTCCTTTTCTGTATATAAATTCCAAAACCCACTTGGCTTTAGCCACTTCTACCTTGCTCAAGGGGTGCTTCTCTTCTCCTCTCTCTCTCTCTCTCTCTCTCTCTCTCTCTATGATCTCTTGTTGTTGAGGGTGAGTCCTGGCAGAGCTGAGCTGAGCTGCAAGATGGATTGGTTGCATAAGTTGAGGAGAGCTTTGCTTTCTTTCTCTGCCAGACTCAAACTGAGTAAATCTGTAGGTTGGTTCTTGCTTCTTCTGCAATTTAACTGATTTTCTTTTCCTTTATGTTTTTCCTTTTGATTTGATTTACCTTTTTCATGTTAAAATGACAATTGGGTACCACCCTGAAATCAAATGTCAGCTAGTGTTGATCAGGCTAGCCTTTAACGGCAATTGGGTTTCATGGGCTAAGATTTATTTTTGGCCATGGCAAAAAAATGTATTTAGATTTTGAGTACATTAGGAACTGTTGTTGCATTGTCATGTGAACAAGTTTTGTGTTTATGTTGCAGGGCGTGATGGTGGTGAGTATGGCGGAGTAGGCGGTCTGCTAAAGCTTCAAGATGATGTACAAATGTGTGGATATCAAGATGTACAGATTATGTGGAACATTTTAAGCAAAGCTCAGCGAGAGGAGATGATGATCATGGCAACAAAAAGAACTCAGCCAGCCCCCAAGCACAACAAGAAGCAAAGACAGCAACCCTCTTGGTCTTTCAAGACTTTCTTTTGGACCAGCCATGCAAAGAGCCCAGTCTTAGTTTAGTTTAGATACTTGTTCAGATGAGAAAAACAAATATTAAGTGTATGTATATATATGTGGTATATGTGTATATATATATATATATATATATATATGAGGGGAGCTTAAAGCAAAAATTTGAGTGTGATACAAATTTTTAGAGTAGTTCTTAGATCCCTCAGAAAAATATGATCAAAGTAACTAATACAAGTACCAGAGTTACTAGGAAAGTTTTGTACTTTCCAGAAGTTTCAAGCAAATGTTATATAAATATTGTGCACACAACATTGGGACATATACTTAAGAGCTGAGTTCAAGAAACCTTAGTGCCATAGGATGCTGGGCTTGTGAGAGTTGATCTGGTTTTAAAACTTCAACAATCTCCCCATCCACAAGGAGGCACACTATATCAGCAATCCTCTGGATTTGTTTGATGCTGTGTGAGACCATTATAATTGTCATGCCTTGTTTCTTCTTCAGCTTCTCCAAAGCACCTTCTATGTGCTCTGTTGATATTGGATCCAAGGCACTGGTAGGCTCGTCCAGCAGCAAAACCTACCCAAGTAGAATAGAAGACATTTTCAAGATGGCAGCATATAAAAAGGCCAAATGGACTTGAGAAAATGAACACTAAATAAAAGGGGGAGTTTGCAGACATGGGCTTAGCCAAGTTGGCTAGAGTTGATGTGCTCTTCACTTTGCGCCTAAGTTCGAATTCTTATCTTTGTAGTTTAGATTATATTAAAGTAGAATTTGCTAGAGCCGATGTGCTCTCCACTTTGCGCCTAAGTTCGAATCCTTGTCTTTGTAGTTTAGATTAAATTAAAATAAAATATTGCTTGTATAAAATATATATAAGTACAAGGGGGAGTTTTTTTTTTTCTTCTAAATCAAATAGGAGCTGTTTACCTCAGGTGAATTGGCTAGGGTCCTAGCAAGTGCAACTCTTTGGGCTTGACCTACAGACATTTCAGAACCAGTCTTGCTGAAAAAAGATGAATCAAGGTCTACAAGGGTCAGCAACTTGTGGACGTCCTGGTCACTCAGCTTCTTCCCCCTCAATCGAGGACCATAACGTATATTGTCTGCAACTGTGCCTGAACAATTGAACAAACACTTGGATCGTGAACCAATCTTACATATCATAAGGGATGAAATGACCCACTTTAAATTCTTACCTATTAGAGAAAATTATGTGAATAATTCATACCAGAAAATCCTTTGAACCTATCCAACTACCTTTGTTATGAATGAGACTACATATTTTTAGGTACTTGCTACAGGAGTATACTCGGGTTTATTTTCAACATATCTATCGAGAAGCTAATATGGTATCAGATTTCGTGACAAAGAAGAGCCTTCCTGCAGATATTAGTTATGGAGTTAACTTTAATTTGTATGGTTGTCATATCCGATGTAACTTCTTTGTAATATTTTTTTTCCTTTAAAAAGAAAAAAGAAAAAAAAAGAGTGATGTTACAATCAACCATATGTCATTTGATCTGTTGTTTTAGTGTCTAATTCTGATCATGTGGAGCCATGTTCAACACCAGCCAAGTAATAAGACAGAATGGGTATAGCCACTACAATTATAGAAATATCTATATAGGGTGTGGAGAGCACCATATGATGGATTGTTTAGGTCCCATAAGAATAAAATCAGGTCCTGGTAGGCACTACTTAAAAAAGTAATTATTGGGTATAAAATGTGACAAAGGATTACATTGAACCACCCCACCCCAAATGAAAAGTCAGAAATATGCAAGAGCTTAAATTGGAATGCTTACACCAACTGTGACAGGTGCATAGGATATAATTATAATACAACCAATCTAATTTATATTATAATCACTCTCTAAAAATATGGGTGCCCAAACAAAACACAAAACATGCATAAGAAAAAATGGTGTTTGACCAAAATAAAATAAAAAACAAAAATAGAAATTACACAAGGAAGAATGGTGGATGAGGATGAGCAGAGCTTATGTGCAATCAACTAATCACACCAATCCAAAAACACAATCAATTTATAACCCAACAACTGCAACCAAGTCAATAGGGTATAAATGAAGCAAGGAGTTTAACAGAAGTTACAAGTTAGCAATTCAACAATTTGATAAAAACAATTTGTGGTTGAACAGAGAGAGACAAAGACTGGTAGTTGGAGATAAGATTAGATAAAAAATTCAAATGGGTACCTTCAAAAAGAGCAGGAAGCTGGAAGAGCATGCCGACCTTGCGCCGGAGGCTGAGAACATCCAGCTCCCGAAGATCATGGCCGTCCAAGAAGACAGTTCCAGATGGAGGCTCCCAGAGGCGGTTGAGAGCTCTGAGCAGCGTCGATTTGCCGCTGCCACTGGGGCCGATGACCCCAACGATCACGCCTTTTGGTATGTCCAAGCTCAACCCATTGAGTATGGCGCATCCAGTGGTCTCTGATTTCTTTGTCAGATTTCGTATCCGGAATTTCACGTCCCCATCGGCTTCTCCAATGTCCACTGTCAGTATGTGCTCTCTAGCTGCTTCATCCCCATCTGCCAAGCAAAACCCAGAAAAATTAAGCACACCAAAAAGCCAAAATCAGAGTTTTGATTGATGGATGGAAGTTGAGTACATAGAAAAGGTTCGAAAATGTTCTCTTTTTCTCTTTTTAAATTGGGTTAGTGATGACAGGATAGCAGATTATGTTGTCAGATTGTCAATCTGTACTACTGATTGAACGGGTTCTCATCAATGCATGGTCTAGATTTAGAGATGATATACATGTCATATATTTGGCAACAGAATATGATTTCAATAGCATAGAAGTGAGTAAGTAGTACCATCAAGGGAGAGGTGTGCCAAACCATTTGGAGATGAAGCCATTGTGAATTGTTGTAATGTGTGTTTAGAGACTTGGATTGAGATGAGATGGAGAAGGGAGAGAAGGGGGGTGTATTTTATGGAAGACTTGGAAGGTACAATTTGTTTGTACCAGTGCATAAATAAATAAAGCCTTCCCCAGAGTGCAATAGTCCAACAGCGACAGGGTGGAGTTGTAGCCAAATATTCATTGATTCTTGAATGCAACCCTTGTTCTGGCTTTGAGAGATAAACCCACTTGTGTAATCTCGAAGGGTATCTTACAAAATGATAAAGTAATAGCATCCAGTCACCAGTGGGGCATACATAGAGGCATTGTCAACTACTGCTGATGGTACGGACTAAGGAGGGAATATATCTCTCCTCGGTTCCATTTCCATGTAATGTCAACATTTTATTTTTAAAAAAAAATTTGTGACATCTTAGCACCAACCTCGGTAAGAACATAGAAGATGTCTTCTCATATTTTGATGCTGCTTTCACCATTTTTCTTTGCTTTAATATTCTGCCTTTTATCAGAAGAATACAACTAAAATAAGTTTGCTTCAAGGCCCGATACACCAGATGTACCTGCAAAAACTTAAGCATTGAGCTAAATGTCATGTAAAGTTCAAAGGCAATCTCGCAACTAAATAAAGATAGAAACTAGCGAAGAGCAATAATACGAAGATAACCATATATGAAAGCAGTAGCACCATCCAGTTATTTACAACTCCCGATAGCAAGCTATCGGAAATTCAATGGACTAAAAAAGAAGAAAGTAATCTGGCTGCACAACTGGATGGCGTTCTGCTTTCAAAGTAGCAGTAGCAACTAGCACGAATGGCTTAGCCAAACCATCAAGCATTCAAGATTTAACACAAAACAGAACTTGGAAAACTTCAGATGATAATGAAAGACTTTAGTTATTACATAATGTTACAAACTTAACATATGCCCAGCTATGGAGCATGTGAATAAATTGTAAGATTGAAATTCTGAATAATGTTTAGTATACATGCAGCAGTGCGACATGAGCATGCTGCAGATGGAAGAAAAACATGGGAAATATTTTCTTCTTTTTTGTGATGATCAAAAGAGCATCTGGCCGGAAGACTTGAATAACGTGATATCAAATAGAAGAAAACCACCTTTTGATGCTACTTCCATCGAGAACCACCAAGTCTAATTACCTCTTCACCACCATTGTCAATCCTGGGAATCCTATCCATACTAGCATCCCCTTTTTGTTCACTCATATCACCATAAAGATCCCTAAGTTTTGCCAGATTGCTAGATGCAGACGTTCTATCCTTGTTTACATCTCTTTGTGGACTCAAATGAAGTGCAGCGCCAGCTTGCAAGCTCCTACTTCTACTCCTGCTCCTACTGCGGCTCCGACTCCTACTCCTACGGTAATGTCTACCGCCATCACGGCTACTCTCATATTGGTCTCTTCGGCTATCTCTCTCTGTATATTTGGACCTTCGATCATAATCAGAACTGCGTTCTCTATCTTTCTCTCGCTCCCTTTCCTTATCCCTAACTCTCTCCCTTGCTCTGTCTCTGTCTCGATCCCGCTCCCGTTCCTTGTATCTTTCTCGATCCCGATCCCGATCACTATCCCTTTCTCTTTCTCTTTCTCGATTCCGATCCCGGTCCCTTCCTCTGTCCCTGTCCCTGTCCGAATATTCTCTGTCAGAATACTCACGGCTCTGGCTGCGATGGGTCCGTAGATCATCACTGCTGGCTTTGTCATAAGGTGGTGGTGGCGGTAACGTACGACGAACAGGTGATGAGTCCCTTGTTGAAGCACGATGTGGGGCACGTTGACCAAAGGAAACTGAAAGTGCCGCTTTCACAGAAGGGGGGCGTCGGGCTGTGTCATCAGATCCATGACGGGTAGCTTCCCCTGTAATGCCAGAAAGTTTAGTGGGGAGTTTCATCTTCTCCAGATGAGCTACAATCTGACGCAACACAGGAACAGGGATACGGGGGAAAAGGGTATCAAAATAGTACTGCAATAGCACAATATACAATGTTAATTCATTTCTCCGAGGATAGCAATAAAAGTGTTATGAGGACAACAAAAATAGTATTTAAATTGCTGCATGTTATTGTTATGTGTTGTCTGATTAAGGTGCATCAGAAACTATGCACAAGGTGTACAAAGCTATCAACTATGATCAGTTAGAAAAACTATTACATATTTATATACATGCATATACATTATAATGAACAATAAAGCAATATATCATCATCCAACTGCGGCTTTGAACACACCAAATTAACAGTTCATTAACACTCTTGGACAGTTTCTAGATGGAGAAACTCAAATTGGGAAGAAATGCTATTGCTTTTTCACGTGTTAAATTTGGACCTTAAACAGTAGAGCATTCTGAGACCATGCTTCAAAGCGCCAAGAAGAACATGTATTCAGATCTTAATCGCACTGTAATCTGAAAAACAGCAGCTGTGACTGTAAAGGACTGCATTGTCGGAACATTAGGCAGAAGATTTGAAGGTGCTGTCCCAGAAGCATGAACAAGAGTATTTTATACAATGCCTTCAAGTTTGATATGTGTGTGTGAGTGTGTATTGAAAGCACATTGAGAACACATTTCTTCATGCTACTCAACTGAAAACCAACCACTTCTTTCTACTACAAACTCTTTCTCCAATCCCTTTGCACAAGGTGTGGCCTCTCAACAGATAACTCTTGAAGAAAAGCTGCCAAATAGAGAGCCTCTAATACTATACAACTTTGTCAAGAACATTTGTAAATAACTGTAATGTCACTTGATAAGAAAATTTACATGTAATTTGATTCTTGGTTTTAAATGAGGAGCTTGCCTCGGATTTAGGCAACAGATCTTGCCCTACATTTCTGCCATATGGTGTAATTGAATCTTATAGGGTCTGAAGAATTTATTTCCTTGCTGTCATGGCTTTTAGCTTTAAATAAAACAATATCAAGAAGAGTTTAATATTTTGTTATTGCAATCTTCTGCAGTTAAACGTGCATAAAATATCTAATTTATCAAGACAAATCAGATATAATTGATCAAAAAAGATTTTGGAGTGAGAGAAATGGGCCTATCTTGGATGACAAAGAGCTCCCAGTTGGCCTGCTAAAGGAATATATTGTGTCATGTTTTTGGGTGGTGAAATACTAGCATATAGTAGAATTAGGTTCTTCAGCATTCTATATATAGTATAGTACACTTGAAAGTGTATACCGCATGCATTATGAAGCCTTGGTCTTTTGTGGCCAGAAAAACCAACTTAATGCATCCTAGAGAGAGGGAGGACGGAGGAGGGGGGGTACAGAATACAATTCGTTACGCCATAACATTTTAATTATAAAGCATACTTGAAAGAAACTAACCTGTCCAAGAAGCAAATCGCGCACATATACACCCATAGTTGTCGTTCGTCCATTGGAACCAGGAGAGAATTCCTGAAACCAAAGCCCACACAACAATGAAGAACTCCAGTAGAATAAAATAAAAATGCTAATATAACAATAAAAAGTTAAAAACTAAGGAAAACAAGTGACTAGTGTCATAGAATCTGCATCAGTGAGAAATATATTAGAACCATAGACAGCAGATAGAGTAAAAAGAATTTATATTTGCTGGATACAATACAGTTACAGCACTGATTGAAATTGGAGAACAAAAATATCATAAGAGAATAACAAAAGGTATTACAGAAAGAGACCATTCGTAAAAATGCAAATAAATCCACGAGGCATTCAATATCAGATTTGATGTATATGTATACAAAGAAAGAAATGGAGTCATTCGTGGAAAGTGGGATGGGGGTGCACAGACGATGTCATGTTGAGATAAGAAGGTGAAGTATAGTGCCGACTAGAACACAACCCATTCAGGACTAATTCAGAACATGTCAGACTCAACATATTAATGGAAATTTGTCCAATGCAATGTATGATTCACATTATAATCTAACCTAATCATCTTCGTTTTCACTCACTTCCAAAAACTAGGCAAGCATACCTTCCCCTTAATATCAAACCATATTTTGATTCTGGGTCAAACTAAACCTGAAAGAATGTACTCCCAGTCAGATTTTAAATCAAAGAATTATGAAGTGTAGATTTTATGTCACTGCACTTCTTGTTTTTCTTTATAAGTTCTCTAAAGCCCATGCTACTCCTTTGACACAAAATTAAATCGAGAAAGAGCAGCGAATTAAAAAAGATAAGCAAAAGGGATGACCGTCAATGGATTTTTTATTTCTTTAAATTTTGTTATTACATTCAATATTTTGATTTTGTTTCTTTAAGAATCTTTAAAATTATCAAAGCTGGGGAGAAGGAACTACCATTGCCAAATTATAAGTAATAAAGGGCAACTTTTCATTTTGATCACCAAAAAAGGCAGAACAAAATAATACAAAGCAGTTATAGTCAACCAAAATTAAGAAGGAAAAAAAACAGCACAACACCTTTAAGAATCGAATCTTCGTTGTTTCAGTCACGTCGAGCACTAAGAATAAAAAAATCTTATGATTTAGACAGTTAAAGGTATGTACTCCATGTAGTAGCAACTTCGCCACTACCACATTTGCATGCCATGGAAATTGAGACACAGACAAATGGTTAGTATGTTTTGTAAACAGCTCATCTTTGGGTATACAACAAGCAATAAAGTTATAAAGATGTCCAAATCCATCAAAATAAGAAAACAGACGGGGATTTTGCAGCTTTCTAATTTTCAGAAACAAAGTACTTTGCCCAGAATTTAAAAAAATTCAAAAACCTTGATAAATTTGAGCAGAATTGCACCAGAGATCACTCAATTCAGATTCCGTAAACCATAAACATCCATTCCAGAAGGAATAAAGTCCTTTCCAGATAACATTTTTGATAACTACAAAGAAGGGCATGCTTGGCATCTATAAAGCAAAGTAGCTCCACAGATATGATAAGAAAGTAAAATTTTGAAAACTAAATACATAAGCAATCTATTATAAGTCAATAAGAGCAATGAAAAGGGCTTCATTTACCTCCTCATCTTTAATGTAGGGTTCAACCCAATTCCACAGAGTCTTCGGGTCTGCAGCATATCTCAAGTAGAGGAACCCAACCTGAAAGCAAAATTAAAACTACAATGATTATTGATTAAGCAAGTAGATAGCACAAAACATTGTAATGAGGAACATGGTACTTGTCAAATTGAAAACAACACATAAAAATAAGTATGGAATGTTGAATTGACATACATACATACCGCTCTTATGTAAGGAGAGTCTTCGTGCTTTAAGAGACCGTGCATTTGCTTAA